CCCCAGCCCCCCTGGGGCTCTCTAGATGCTGCTGGCCCCTCTGCTGTTGGGGCTGGAGCACCACAGAGAGCTCCACAGCCAGGGCAGAGCTCTGCAGCTGCCTGGCTCCGCAGCCAGGGCCGGAACTCTGCGGCTGGGGCCAGAGAGTCCTGGATGCCACTGAGGCTGGAGGTCCTGGGCCACTGGAGCCAGAATGGGGCCGGAGCTCCACAGATGGGATTTGGGCCAGAGCTTTCTAACTGCCGCTGAAGTCCGAGCTTCCTGGCTGTGGCCAGAACGCCACAGCTGCTGCTCCCTGGCCACTGGGGTCAGGGAGCTCTGTTGGGGCCAGAACTCCCTGCCATGCTTGCCTGTCCCCCTCCCCCAACACTGGGCTCCCAGCTGAGTCACCAGTGCCCCCTCCGGCACTCCTGCCACACCGCCCTCTTCCTGGGCTCTGTGGTCCAGGAATATCGATGGTCAATGTTGCCAGACCAGGGAGTCCCAACTAAGGGAGGTACGACCTATACACACAGACTAATATATGATTATCATACATATATCACATGCAATGCGTTGTGGTTTCCTAACAAAACAAGTTATTTTTATATATTTGAATGATACAAAAGTAGGATGAAAAATAGACTGATATTGATGTTTATTTTTAAGCTTTTTTAGATTTTTTTCAACTGAAATTTCACAGTTGCAGGGTTGTCAGACAATTAGTGAACGGCAGAGACATTGAGATTAAAAATGTCAAATTTGGCTTAATACACAAATTGTCTATAAATCGTTAACATCACATGTCAAAAGTACACAAAATAAATATCCTTAAATAAAAATAAAATACTAGTTTTTACTACTTCCTTGCTAGTTCACTTGTACCAAGCCTAATTAAAGAGTCTAAATCACTGGATTATTTCCACACAGTCATACTTTGCCTAGCTGTAAATTTCAATTATCATCAAAGGAAATATTTTTTGTTAGTTTGTGTGTATGGCAAAATCAATAGTTATCGACATTTACCAATAAAAAGCGAATCCATCCAACCATACCTACAAGATTCTTTTACATTTCAAATCATTTTAGGACTTATGATCTATGCATGACCGGTCTTGAAAATTTTTATAACACACCACATAAGCAATGTTGTTGATTTCCTCCTGAAGTGGGAGCAACTCGGGTAAGTGTACATGCTACAGTAAAACACTGGGGAAGCCTAGGTCAGCTGACTCAGGTTCATGTGGCTTAGGATGGAGGGCTATACAATTGAAGCGTACATGTTTTGGCTCAGAGACCATCCTCCCTTGTGGAGTCACAGAGCCCAGACTTCAACCCAAGCACTGAGAACCTGTGATGGGGAAGCTCCCATAGCCTGAACTTCTACCCAGCATTTTTATAATCCCACAGCCTGAGCCCAAGTCAGCTAACCAGAGTCAGGCACAGGTTGCTGCAGTGTAGACATTCTCTTAAGAGTCAGATTTTGCTGATAACTACTTCATTGTAAATCCAGAGTAACTCTATTTAACACAGCGGAATTACACTGGTCAGACTCTAGCCCTTAGATCACTTAAATTATAAACCTTCAAATTCTAGACAGATTAGTCCCCAGTTAGCATTTTGCAAGTGAGCTGCAGGAGCACTTTTTTTTATATATAACACCACCACCGCTGCCACCACAGACACCACAAAAAAAACAAACAAAACAACCTACAAAGAGAGACATAAAAAATTGGAGGCAAATGTTCTCCCGGATGTCAGCTACATCTTGGGCCATTGGGTTAACTTTCCAGAGATTTGGCTGCAACTCACCATGCCCATAAGAAGGTGGGTTTTTTTTTTTTGCTACATCACAGATGTTTCCTTTCCCTAATTATAGAGCAGGAACAAGGTTACTCCACCCTCATGCCCCTGTCAGCCTAGATACCAGCTGCACTAGAAGTCTTCCTGTTTTTACTGAATTTAAGTTCTCATTCTAATTTTTTTTTTAAAGTGACCATGGTTTCAAAGAAACACATTCCAAATGCAAGACCAAATCTAGTGTAATCTTTCAGAGTCTGTGGACAACATGTAACAGTAGCCCAGAGATATATATAATGCACAGAGTATCCACTCTGAAGTTTAATGGCAGTTTAAAATGCCCATTATTAATTACAGGCAGTCCCCGGGTTACGTACAAGATAGGGACTGTAGGTTTGTTCTTAAGTTGAATCTGTATGTAAGTCGGAAGTGGCGTCCAGATTCAGCCGCTGCTGAAACTGACCAGCGACTGACTACAGGAAGCCCGAGGCAGAGTTGCTCTGCCCCGGGCTTCCTGGAATCAGCCTCTGATCAGTTTCAACAGGCTGAATCTGGACGCCAGTACTTAAGAACCCCAGGCGTCCCAAGTCAACCGGTGCTGAAACTGATCAGAGGCTGATTCCAGGAAGCCCAGGGCAGAGCAACTCTGACCAGCAGCGGCTGAATCAGGACGCCTGGGGCAGAGTAGCTGGGGTGCTGCCGGGTTGGTCCAGTAGCGCCCAGACCAACCGGGACCAACCGGCAGCGCCCCAGCTGCTCTATCACAGGCATCCGGAGAAAAGCCTGGGCTGCTGGGGGGGGGGGGGGGCT